TGGGCCTGGCGGTGCACCGCAGGTGGTGGAGCTAACCTCGGGGAAGTTTGACGTGGAGGGGGATCCCCACTGCCGCTACGACTACGTGTCTGTGTTCCACGGGGGCGCCAGCGACGATTCCCGCCGCGTGGGCAAGTTCTGCGGGGACCATGCCCCTGGGTGAGACCCCCCTCGCTGTACGAATGCCCTGCACTCCATTCCCTTCCCCCACCTCTGGGTGAACCCCTTCCCCCAGCTGTTCCCACTTGCTTCCCCCCACCCTGAGGTAAGATCCTGCCTTTCTCCAACCCCTCCCCTTGCCACCACCAGGTGAGCCTCTGCCCCTCCCTGACCCCAGCTGTTCTCTTCCCCCTCCTCTATCCTCCCATGAACTCCTGCCACTGGCAGTTCCCACACCTTCCTGACACCCCCTATAGGGGACAGGCCCCATTGCCTGCTCCCCTGAGCCAGCCATTCCCCGTAAAACAGTTCTGACTTGTCTCCCCACAGACCCATCTACTCGGAGGGGAATGAGCTGCTGGTGCAGTTTGTGTCAGATCTCAGTGTCACAGCTGATGGCTTTGCTGCCTCCTACGTCATGAAGAGCCACTCGGAGGCGACTGACAAGGCCACAAAACCAGCCCCCGGGATCTTCCCCGGCTCCAAACCGGGCCAACCCAGCACCAAGCCTGCTCCAGCCAAACCTGCTGTGAAACCCAAACCAGTGCCCGAGCCCAAACCAAAACCCACCACAAGGGCACTGCCCGAGGCCGAACCACCCACTACGCAGACACCAGGTAAGAGGGGCCTGTGCAAACCCAAGCCAGACCCAGCACTAGCTCTCTCCTGACCCGCAGCCCCCTTCCTTCCAATTCTATGCTGTGTGGCAGCAAGGCAGTTTGGCAGGGGCTTCCTGGTTTGTTTTGGGGGGGATGCTGCCTGGCCTCAGCCCAGGCACTAACCCTCTCGTCTCCTCCCAGCCAAGGCTCAGTGCCCCCAGAAATGCCGCAGGTCAGGAAGTCTGCAGAGCAACTTCTGTGCCAACGACTTTGGTAAGGGATCCAGGAGTCTGGTCAGGGTGAGGGGATGGGCTCCTTGGCTCTGAGCTGAGCATCCCTGTGGCCTGACTCACCCTCCATCTCACAGTGATCACCGGCACCGTGAAAACTGCCGTGCGAGGGGCCAGCGACCGGGTCACAGCCACTGTCTCACTCATTAACACTTACAAGGCCGGCACCCTGAGCCTGCCCCAGGCTGAGAAAGGGGCCACAGTGCAGCTGGAGATCCCCTGCCGCCAGTGTCCCATCCTCAAGAAAGGTGAGTGCGCTCCTGGCACTGCCCTGCCCCAGAGTTGGCTGCATCTCCACACTGAGCTTTCTTGGGCTTGTGTGACCAGCTGCCCTCCTCCCTGAGGAGCTGTAGGTGGCGGCATCTCACACCTCTCCTGACACTTCCCCCGTCCCTGCAGGTTTGAATTACATCTTCATGGGCCAGGTGGATGCCGAGGGTGTTGGTGAGCTGACTCCTGAGAGCTTTGTGGTCCCATATCGGCCGCAGCAGCACCAGGCCCTCACCAGCGTCAGCAAGCGGCCATGTGCCGGGGCACCAAAGAAGAACTCCTGAGTCCCAGGGTGTGGGATTGTCTGCTCCCAGGCTGCTGGGGGGGGGGGGGGGTGGGGGGGTGTCCTCCCAGTTCTGTCCTCCCTGGCCTTGGCCCCCCCGCCTCCATAGGCCACGTGGCCATGCCCCGTGCCCTGTCCAGCGAGGCTGGCTCACGTCTAGGGGTCTGGGCCAGCTCCGTGTAGCCAAATAAAGGAGCAAACCAGCTGTGCTGCCTGCCATGATGGGGACAGATACATATTAGCCTCCCCCAGCTCCCTGGATCAAGCCTCCCCCTTTGCATGGGAAATTCATGTGCAAACTCCACTGGGGTGGGATACTATGGAGGAGCCAGGACAGAAATCCAGGCCTGGTATTGGAGGGGGAGGACAGACCTCATCGCCCCATAAATCAACCAAGGCTGCTGTTGGGCATGGGGGAGTCTGGAGGGTGGGGAAGAGATGCCTGGTGGACACATCCCAGGTCAGTGTGGGGGGAAGCTAAAGCCATGGGAGCGGCACTAGGTGGCAGACAGAGCAGGCCCAGGCTGCGGGGAGCATATGGCCCTAGGGCCAGGACCGACTGCCAGGGGCATCCTGGGCCCTTCAGGTGGTTCCTTCACTCAAAACTGTCCCCTTTGCCCTGAAGTTCCACTGGGATCCGGGAGTCTTCTTCCCTTCCAGGCCTGCGAATGGCTACGTGTCCCAAGCCAGCTGCTTGTCCCTGTTAGGGATCCCTGCTGCTCTAACCCACCAGCCTCCACTCCTCTCCCAGAGCCAGGAGAGAACCCAGGAGTCCTGGCGCCCTGCAACAGGTGTGGTTATGTTCATGCTTCTTTTTTTCCCCATGGGCTCCCCCCACAGCTACTCCCAGACCAGATTTACATTCATTGCAAGCGCCTCATAGTCAATGGAAAGCAGATCCCCTGGGCATGGGGACCTGGTGCTGCAGAGATGAGCCAGGCGACAACCACTTGGTGCTGCAGCATGGGGAATGGAAGGGATCCAGGGAGATGAAGAGGCCAGGAAATAGATTCAGGAGATGGTGAGCTGGAAGTTGGAGGCAGGCAGAAGGGGTCCGGGCACATTTACCCATTCAGGGTGGAAGGCTCACCATGCCAGGGGGCAGCCCTCAGAGCTATGCAGCAGCCCTCCAGTGACTCTGCCAGGCTTGTGCCATTGATCCAGGCTGGGCATGCAGTACATCCATGTGCCAAGCTCCAGGAGCAATGGTGGGGGGGACACCCCACAGCTGCAAGATTGTGGCACTCCCACTGCAGGGGGGAGGGAGGTTTTGAGGGGAGAAAATGTGCTAAGAGGGGGCAAGGATCTGCATGGGGGGACTCTAGCTGCAGGTCAGAGGAGGATCTCCCCCACACACACACACTGCCCTGGGATGTGTCCACCAGGCAGCCCTTCCCCACCGTCCAGACTCCCCAATGCCCAGGAAGGCCCAAGATCCTTGGAGGGGGGTAGGATCAGGGGAAGGAAGCAGGTACTAGCAGGGATGGGAGGCAGGGGCCGCTCAGAAGCAGACGATGAGGGGAGATGCAACCCTGGCTGGATACCGGGGAGTAGCAATGGCAGGGACCGTAGCAGACCGGGGAAACCAGTCCGGCTCCCTCCCCCGCAGCGACTGCCGGTGCCTGGGACAGAAGCTGATGAGGGAAGGGATGGGGGCGGCTCCAGGCTCCGCCCCCTCCAGCCCGCTGATCGGGACGCCAACCCTCGCCCCCTAGGGCATCTCAACTTTCTGATCGCGCCTCCTGCCTCACTTGCGTTCCAACCCCGCCCCTCTCAGCTGCTACTGACGTTCCACTCCCCACTCCGACGCGCCCCAAAACCCTACCTTAAAGGGGACGCGCCCCCCAGGGGTCTCCCGTAGATTCAGGGCAGCACCTCTGCCATGCGGGTGGGGGGGCGGAGCATAGCGTCTCTCCGCCCAGGAAGGCCCAAGCTGGGATCCTCTGGGAGCAGCAGGGAGAGGGGGAGGAGCAGGGATGTGTGCCAGGCAGTGCCGCAGATATGGAGGAAACGTGACATACATCCCCGCCCCCTGTCCCAATTTTCCCGGTGCCCGCACTCCTGCCCAGCAGCCCCCTTCCAGCTCTGGGTTCCTCCAGCCTGCTGGTGCCCCTTCCTCCCGATCTGCTGCCCCTGCCAGCCCAGCCCTGGGGTTATTTAAAGATCCCAGGGCCATTCCGGGGCCGGGGCTGGCTTCACAGGCACTACCTGTCCCCGTGCCTTGTTCCATGTCCCAGCACTAGCCTCACATCATCTCCCTCCCCCATCCCTCCAGGCCAGGGTTGGGGTCCAGTGGAGGGGTAAACTGCCCATGTGTGGGGAGGGGCTCATGGCAGGGGATCAGAGCTAGGTGTGTGGGGAACACGAAATGCCCCCATCCCAGGCTGCCCCCTCCTTGAGCCCAGACTCGGTACTGACATTGCTGTCACACTGAACGCGAGTGAATCCAGACTAAAACCGGAGCTGGAGTAAACCCAGACTGAAGCATGATTCGGGGTAGTTCCAAAGTAAGTTCTCATCTGGTGTGACTCCGGATCCAGAGTCAACCCTGCATGAAAGTGGAGCTGAAGTGAATTCAGATCCCGAGAGACACGGATTCTACAAGGCCCTGGCAAGAGGACAGACTGTGCCCCGCGCCGGAACCCGACCCCGAGATAGACGCCAGGGGGCGCATGGAACCAGCTCACTTGAACCCAGCGGGTGTCGCCCAGGGGCAGGGTCGGACGCGCGGGGGTATGGGACCGGGCCTGGATCGGACCGCGGGGCGGGGTGCCGGGCCATACCTGTGCTCTGGCGGGGACCCGGGAGTCGTGCCCGCCCAGGCCGCGACACTGGCTTTTCCTCTGGTGCTTTATTCACAATTGTAGCGTCTGCGTCAGTCAATCGCGCTCCATGATCGGGGACAGGTTCGGAGGGGCTGCGGGGCCTGGCTGGCTGCAGGCGGGGGGGCTGGGAGGCCG